CTACTTAAAAGTTTTACCCTTAAAAGTAATCTGAAGTCTTGATTTTTGTCTTGAGCAACTGGATGTGCTGTTTTCCTTGTGATATTTCTGTCTTAGTGATATTTTGCTATGATTTAAAATACCCCCAAACCCTGAAAATGTTTTTTCCTAGAACAAGAGTTTGGGTTTCATAAATGACACTTCTCTAGCCAGCCATAAAGACATTCAGGACCTTGGCTTTTCTTAAGAAACACAGTACAGTAAGAATCCAAGAAAAAGAGGTTTCAACTCTAAAAGACTATGCTGACCTGAGTCAACCCCAGATTCATTATATAAGTCCCTAGAGAATTACTGCCAGATAGCATCAGCAGAAGCCAGCCAGCTTTCAACCTAGACTCAAACCAGGTCATAGAAAAGATAAAGGAATAGGAAGCACTCCAATACTGCATCACCACTCTGAATAGTTTCAGGAAGAAGCTCTTGTTCATTGTCTAAAATGTTGCTTTGTCTCCCCTGACTCACAGGAGATCCTCTTATCTATAATTTATAAAATGTTGTTTGATCTGTCACCTCTCCCTTCTCATACTCCAGCCAAGTTTGAGGGCCATGTCTTGGTGGGATCTCAGTTTTTTTTTCCGTGGTTGCCAGTGAAATAGGAAGAACTGGTTTAGTGTCAGAGAATAGAAACCCTCTTATTTTATCCCTTCATGTAATTCTTTAAAGGCAGTGTTGAGTTTATCTGCCATACACGTCAAAGATTTATGAGTATATAAATGAATGAAATTTTGCCTACAGGTATTATGTGCACCATATGAGTGAAGTTCCCACTGAGGCCAGAAAAGAGCATCTGATAACCTGGAACATGAGTCACAGAGAGTTGTGAATCACCTTATAGGAGCTGCGATCTGAATCTGGGTTCTCTGCAAGAGAGTGCTCTTACACAATGAACCATTTCCCAGCTCCCAGAGGATATTCTTCTTCAACTTAGAGCTTCATGTCTCTGTAGAGTAGCATCCCAAAAAGTTTATCCACAGAGAAAAAGTGTCCACAGAGAAAGGAAGTTATGTGGCTGGTAGGAGAGAGGAAGTGTTAAGGCAGGAGGAAACAGGAACTCATTCTTTCTTCAGCCAGGAAGTTGAGAGGTAAGGTGGCTGTGGTTTTGCTCCTTCATCTCTCTGATCTCAGCATTTTCTCCAATATTTGACTCCAGGCCTTAATTACTAACACATATTAGAATTTATTCTACATACTGGCACCCAGTGTGGGGCAGGAATTCATGAAAAAGCCACTTGCTGTGTCTCTGTAGCCACTGGTAGAAGCTGAACCTACATGTGGACTTCTGTTTTAGCTTAATTTGGGGCTCCTGTCCTGCCCAGCTAGGCTTCCTCTACTACCCCCCCCCCACTCCCCGCCAAGTCTCTGAACAAGTTTGATATTTTCCTATTGTAGTTTCTATGAAACAGTATCCGCCTGCCACTCAAACTCAAGAAGAACCTGGGCTCCAAACAAAGAAGATAACTAATTTAGATGGTACTTACCTAATGTCAATATTAAACATTATCAGTCTTACAATTTTTGTTTTTTCACTAGAAGAGTTGGTTAATAAGAGTGCTAAGATACAAGTTTTAGAAAAAATGTAATAAAATATCATAGAGATATTCAGATCCAGACAGAGGAATTTAATGTAGAACCAATTTCAGCATTGCATTATAAGGTTAGAGATGAACAGCCTAAGATTTACAGCAAATGACTTTAATTTATCCAGTCACCTTACAGAAACTGCCAAATGACAAATATCCCAAGACAGTGCAATAGCTATATGGACTCCTGTGGACATATCAGATTTAAGGAGATTCAAAGAAGCAACAGTCTCAAATTGCATGCATACACCTTTTGTGAAGCAGATGGTAAACTCGTGGTCAACTTGTAATAGAATTATCCCTAGAGACTATGGAGACATGCTTAAAAACAGTCTCGGTGCCTGGTCCTCAATTACAGTGGACAACTTGGTTGAAAGAAGAGAATAAAATCATTGAACAATGAAGTAGGGCTAAGGGGGTGGAAATGTCCCAAGAACAACTTTGTAGAGAGGGAGATTATGCTGATGTACAAAGACAATCTCTATATAATGACCATGTTCTTCATCTATCCCAGATGGAAATCATCTTATATGAGGGTGGAATGCCCATAAGAGACACTGGCATGATCCTGTCTCTGAAAAAGTTCAAGAAAAACATTGCACTGGCTGTGGACATCGATGCACTCTCCCTATCCTCAAAGAACCGTTTTGAGGGTTTGCCCATCACATCTTGTTCCTTTTTAACTTCTGCCACAAACTAAATGTTTCTTCACACATAGAGAAGAGATGAGAGGCTCTTACAGGGACAGAAGCCAAGACTTATATAGAAATTCAGGCTAGAAGCCAACCAGTTAGTTCATCACTGTGGGTGCCATAGCATTATATCCATCCCCTAATAAAATTAGTATCTAAGTGCAGCAGGCAAAGATCAGCTTTGAAGAAGAGCAACTGCCCTGAGCCAACAGTTGCAGGGATCCAATACTTGACCACATGAACAGATATCAATCTGAGCAGGAATTATGCCAACTAGTTATCCAATAGAGAATGTGTGTGTGTGTATGTATAAATTTAGAAGTTAAAATCAAAGGGAAAGATAATACAATCACTAAATGGTCCAATTATTTGAAGACTTTTTAAAAAGAACAGAAAGTACAAATGACTAAAAGAATACCTGAAGAACAATGTCCAACACCACTAGCCACCAGGAAATACAAAACACCCTTGAAACTCTACCTCACTTCCTTCAGGAAGGGCTGTCATCAAGAAAACCAGCAAACACAAGTGCTGGTGAGGATCCAGGGGAAAGGAAACCTTCACACACTGTTTATAGTAACGGAAATTGGCATACACTATATAAAAATTAGCTTGCAGGATCTTCCAAAAAACTAAAATTAGAACCACCACATGACTACACCACAGTACATACAACAAAGTACCAGCATGCCTGTCTGTCAGATGCATGAATAAGATATGGTGCATATGAGGAAGAATAAATGATGTTGTTTTCCAGAAAACATGAAATGTGGAAATCATCTTGATAAGTGAAGTATGTAGGACTCCAGAGACAAAGGTCAAGTTTCCATCATCTAAGGAGGGGTGGGTACACAAAAGAAGCAATTGGTCAATTTGGGAAGAGAAAGAGAATCAGGAAGAGGCCACAAGGGACATCAAAGAGGGTTATGGTGAGTGAATTTGATCAAACTGTGTTACATGCATTCACGACAATGTTGTGATCAAATGTGCTGTTTTGTGAAATCAGTGCAAGCTAATACAAATCAATCAATTTCTGTATGTCATACAAAACAAAAATAGTAGGATTTTTCTTCCCTTTTTTTTGGATTTTTTGAGACAGGGTTTCTCCATAGCTTTTTGGTTCCTGTCCTGAAACTAACTCTTGTAGACCAGGCTGGCCTCGAACTCACAGAGATCTGCCTGCCTCTGCCTCCTGAGTGATGGCGTGTTCCCATTTTTTTGAGATGGTTTTTTTTTTCTGTGTAGCAGTCCTAAGTGTCCTGGAACTAACTCTTGTAGATGGGGCTGGCCTCAAACTCACAGAGATCCACCTGTCTCTGCCTCCCAAGTGCTGGGATTAAAGATGTGTGTCACCACCACCAGGCTCAAAAGTGGAAGTTTTCCAAAGTGGTTGCACAAGTTTGCATTCCCACCAGCAATAGATGAATGTACCCCTTTCTCCACAACCTCTCCAGCAAAGGCTATCATTGGTGTTTTTGATTTTAGCCATTCTGACAGGTATAAGATGGTATCTTAAAGTTGTCCTGATTTGCATTTCCCTGATGGACTTTCCC